AAAAACTCTATGCCACTGGATGGATGGCGTTCATAGTGCCAGAAGGCACTGTGCAGATGTCTGGGGAAGAAAGGCTCCCCTGTGATTCTACTCAACAATGGACCCTGCGTGCTGCACACTATGGACATGCCAAGCAATCCCTTCCAATGCAATAATGACTCAACCAACATATGTACAACTGACAAATTTCTAATTGGATAAGGCCCACTCCTAGGGGTGGAACACACATCTGGTGCTGTAGATCAGGCCAACGCCTTGTGTCAAGAAAGGCTACAGGCCCTAGCGGGTACAAGTACACTGTTTAATGAATGTGGTACACCTACTGGGATATCTTCTAGGCATTTGTATTTACATTCATGTTTATTTAGACGTGTCTACTTTCTTCCATTTGTCTTTATAGTAGGGGAAACACCACTGAGAGATCAATGGCCACATCTTGAAGACAAATGATGGGGAGGCCCAAGAAATCACTATCTTGCCAAGATACAAAAGAGATCGCCCTACATCTGTCACCCCCTCCAAGGCTCAGGGACCCTTGCAGAAGATTGGTGGAAAGATTGTGAGGGTGGAGGAAAGGGGTGGAGTGTAGCCCGGAAATGACTTGTTCCTCCCGACTTCCTCTGAAGAGCCATAGGGAAGTGCAGGGCACCCTGGGAAGAAGGGTGGAGCAACCTAGCCGGAGATCGGAAAGGAGGAGCAGGAGGTGTGTGGCTGCCGTGGAAAATGGCCAAGGTATCCTGCAAGCGTGGAAGCAAGATGGGGCATTTACAGACCTGTAAAGAAGGGAGTGTGGGCCCATGGGGTGCAGGTGGACGCTAATGAGCCTGTGGGCAGAGCACAGTGATTGGAAAGGCCACCACAGGGCTACATGGTCTCTTTGTAAGTTACCCTGCACTGCCTTCTATAAACTCAAACTAAAAATGTCTTATATTAGCTGATGGGGCATTTACAGACCTGTAAAGAAGGGAGTGTGGGCCCATGGGGTGCAGGTGGACGCTAATGAGCCTGTGGGCAGAGCACAGAGTGATTGGAAAGGCCACCACAGGGCTACATGGTCTCTTTGTAAGTTACCCTGCACTGCCTTCTATAAACTCAAACTAAAAATGTCTTATATTAGCTTGTGAGCCTGGGGCCTTGGGAGGGAGCCTCCCAAGAAGGGAAAAGAAAAAAAAAATTGGTGGGCAGATGTCAACATATCTTTCAGAGGACATTATTAACCCATGACACCACCCACAAATAGCGATCTGCCACAAGTTACTGTGTTAACAGGCTGATATTTACAGGACACCCTTCTCCAACAGCATGCAAGCCCTTCCCATTTTCCTCTCCACCCCCAGCGCTGTCTTCTCTGTGGGCACCTCCTGACCCATCAACTCTCCATACCAGAGGCCCCCTTGGACCCTAGTTAGCTTTAACTGTCAATGTTTCCTGCCTATGGTTATCTGGCAGGAAAGCCTCGATGTGGAACTTCCTAGATCAGATTGGGCTGTGGGCATATCTCTGAGGCACTGTCTTATTAATGGATGTGGAAGGGCCCGGCCTACTGTGGGCAGCACCATCCCTAGACAGGTGGTCCTGAGCTGTGTAAGAACACCAAGCATGAGTCTGAAAGCAAGCAGCATGCCTCCATGGTTCCTGCCTCCAATTCTTGCCCTGGCTTCCCTCAATGGTGGACTGTGACATAAAATCCTTTCCTCCCCACACTGCTTTTGGTCAGAGGGTTTTATTGCAGCTATAGAAACTACCCATACCATCTACACCAACCCCACAGGAGTCCAGTCTCACAGCTTCCACACCATCATCCTCCTGACAGACTGCCACATTTATAGCACTAACCCATGATGATCTCTACCTCCTATTAGTATGTCCCAGGGGCCATGGAGCAGCTCTTTGTTCCTACTACAGACCTGCCTCTACAAGCCTGCCTCCCTCCAGCCTGCCCAGGCCCCTGCTGGCCCAGCAGGGTGGTTTCTCCTGGACAGCACCACACCCCACGGTCCCCAGGCAGCACCTCTCCACCTTCTCTTTCCACCTGCACTTGATTCCCCAGAACCCTGACATCACACAATTTTCCTGGACCCCAGACCTTCCTCACATTACACCCAGCCTGATGCTCACTTCCACTCACCAGGAGGAGACACTCTCTGAGAGGGAAGAAAGGTTTTTGGAAGCAACCATCTACTGCCATCATCCTTAAAAACTTTAAGAATTTTTATTTATGTGTGTATCTTTCTGTGTATAGGTGTTACGTGTGTGGGAATCCATGGAGGCCAGAAGACAGCATCAGATTCCCTGGAGTTGGAGTAACAGGTGACTGTGACCCCCCAATATGGGTGCTGGGACTTGAACTCAGATCCTCTGGAAGGATGTGCTCTTAAGCGCCAAGCCATCTCTCCAGCCCTACTGCCATCATCCCTATCTCTTCTCTGCCCATTCACTCTTCACCCACGACCACCTACCCCCTGGCTATCACTTCTCCACTAAATCCCTCTTGCCAGGATCAAGAGGATTTCAGTAAGTCTGAGTGCAGCAGGGAGATTTAAGAGGTCGCCCCTCTGCCTGCAAACCCGCTTGGGGGGCTTCTAGGAAAACCACCCATGCTTCCCTTTTCCATCTGGCTTTTCAATTCTCCTGCATATTCATTTCACCATCAGTGAGCTCTCTGAGAAAGGGACACGCCATCTGTGGCCCTTTGCTACCAGGCACACATCTTAGCACAGGGCCCTGGATCACCATCAGCTAATAGGAACTCTCTGTCACTGTGTTCACCCTGAAAATCTCCATCTGACTCTCCCAGGTTGCTGAGACTTTCTCTGTATTATCTCAAATGTTTGAACCCACTCCTAATGACTGTCCATGGTTCTGATGTGGACCTCCTATGAGGTCTGTCTGTGACTTTTCCTGGGTTTCCCTTCATACCTGGTATAGGTCAAGTGACTGCTGAACACGTGTGGAGAGCCAGGGTGCACATCTGAGGCTCTAGAGGGTTAGATGGTGTCCCCTTCCTCCAGAGAGGACTCAGCTTCACTTCTGGCAGGCAGGCAGCCTAGAGACACCAGCAATGGCAAACACAACCCCCATCCCGCCATCTCCCCACCCCCATCAGTGAAGTGGTTCAGACCAGGACTCTGATCCCTGGGAGGACCTCAGTAATCCTGAACCCTTTACTTCCAAGGAGAGGCCTTCGAGAGTTCCAACTCTAAGCCAGGAACCAGGGTTCCTCCAGCCTGGCAAGTCCTGATTTCTGTTTCTGACCCAGTCCTATGAGTCCGGCAGGAGCTCTGCTCAGACACCCAGAACATGTGAAGAAACAAGCTCACCTCTCACCATCCAGTCTTCAGGCTTACTCTCTCATCAAACTAGGTAAGCCAGGCCTTGGCCACCCACACTGTTTCTTTGGGGACATAAGGATCTGGGAGTCTACAGACTGGGTTCTGTCTGTATAGCTGCAACCCAGTCCCACAGCCCCTGGGCCTTGTCTCTCAAAGCTCCCTTGGCGTTTCTTGTGAAACATCAGAAAAAAACTTTTTGAGCAGTTTCTTCCTCCAACAGTTCCACAGCCACTGACTTTCCTGACAGCTCTTACTGTACACAGTCCCAGCTACGGTCCGTGGCTGAGCTAGTGCCAGCCCAGGAACAGGTAGCAAACTGGCATCTCTATAATTACAACATGGACTTAATCGCAGCAGCGTGGACTGAGATTTGCAGTGAAAGCTGTTCAACTTCTAGAGGTATGCATGTTTGTGCCGCAGATCCTTGTGATGTGCAGGCCCGACAAGCAAATCACACAAAGCAGACGAGGACTCGGCTCAACGCTCAGGTGGCAAATTAAAGGGAAAAAGCCCAACCTGGACTCACTGTGGGGCATCTCCATGCTAAAGTGCATGCAGCAAACAGTGGGGAGAAGACAAGGTTAGAGCCAGCCAGAGTCAGAGCACACAGAAACAGCCCTTTTTTTGGTCTTTTTGAAACAGGGTCTCTCTGTAGCCCCACCTGACCTGGAACTCACTATGTAGGCCAGGCTGGCCTTGAACTCACAGAGATCCACCTGCCTCTGCCTCCCAAGTGATGGGACTACAGGAGTGCGCCACCATGTCTGGCAAGAAAAACAAAACAAAAAAAAAACAAAAAAAATCAAACAATAAAAAGAAACAGCTCTTTTTAAGAAGAGTACCGATGGTGTCAGCTGCTTTGAAACAGCAGAAGGTCCACTGTCAGCCTCTGGTTTTACAGAAGATACAAGAGTCTGTTTTCTTCAGTGGATAAGAACGTAAAGAGATGCACAAATGTTTCACTTGTTTTTGTTTTTAAATCAAAGACAAAAGAACCAGTAGATGAAGGACAGGCTGAAGCCCAGTTCAGCTTTCATCTTTGTAGAAGACTCACGGTGCCACACCGTCACTCAAAGAGAAGACCCAAGACGTCAGTCGTCATCCAGAGGGAAGCCTGAAGACATTACATCATCACTCACAGAGAGACCCAAGAATTACATCGTCACTCACAGAGAAGACCCAAGGTGTCACATCATTCTCACAGCAGAGAACAAAGACACCGTGTCATTACTCACAGAAGACAAAGTCACGTCACCCTCAGATTTGTGCCCACACGTGCTAACTCCAGCCCAAATTTCTTACTCTCTAACCCTGGGTTCCTCCATCCAGTGCTTCCCTGACTTGCCTCTTCTCGGCAGGCTATGCAGCCTGGATAGTCATGTTGCTTGTGGAGTTTCTCTCTTACCTTTCACTGCACTGACCTAAGAGAAATCAACTCCAAACCTGTGTCCCCAGGAGTTATCACCAGGCTTCTGGGTGCTCCAGGCCCATAGTCTTAGAAGCAACTCAACTATACAGTAGTCTATATTTTTCAAGAGATCCTGTACGTAACAGAAAAGCCACTGGCCGGTAAACTATGTTGGAGCCCAGCCTTGTTCAGAGGTACAGAGAGCACAGCTTCTCCACCCCCGATTTCCATATCCTCCATGTGGAAGTGTTTCCTGTTACCTTGTGCAGCCACAGCGGGAGGTTTCCAGCCTCACTCTGCAGCGAGCTCTTCTGCTGCACTGCGGCCCAGCAGTAGGAATCCACGAAGGAGGCCTGGCGCCAGGAGAAGGAACTTGGGGAGAAGCAGCTTAACTGGGTTCCTGAGAAGCAAGGAGAGAGTTCCGGATGAGTGAAGTGTGGGGCTGCACCCTCCCACCACGGGGTGGGGCAGGGGGGCACAATTTGGGCAGTAGTAGTAAAAAGTTTCTGAACACGTAACTCAAATGCATCATGAATCCCAGGTCTCTCTACAAGTGCTTGTCCGTGCTGCACTGCACAACTTCCCTACTACAGTCTTGGCTCCGAACACAGGGCATGCACATTGCACTGCGTATGTGTCACTACACAATGCCATAGAACACAGCCTGAAATGCCTGGGCTCAGATTCGAGACTGCGGTATGAACTGCAGTGTCTTTACTGTACATAAAAAGTTTTCTGCTTGGTTATAGGAAACCAAGACTTTACTATTTCCATCATGAGGTAAGGACCAGCCTAGGGAGCCTTGGTTTGTATTGCGTTAAGACAAATAGGCATATTCATCTCTTTAATATGCAAATTTGCTGGTTTTTTTTACTTGGTCAAATTTATTAGGGCGATAGCCATCCATGGTCCCTTAGTCAGATTCAGAACCCATGGCCCTGAGGGAGCTTGTAAAGGCAAAACCCACAAATACAGTGAGAATTTCATCACACATGAGTAATGAATGCCAGGTGGTCCTGAGCAGGGTGAGGGCAGCCCACGTTAGCAGACAAGCAAACTCCAGAAGCCAGAACAAGCTTGTGTTAGTGCTTCCCTTAGCAGCTGTACAGAGCCCTTGACAGCGAGGCACTTTCTGATCACTGCTGTTACTTAGGCTTCTCGGCCAGGCAGAAGCACAGCTGCACTGTCTGGGAGGTGACCAAGGTCAGCCACTCCAGAGAAAGCACTCTGCTAAGGGGAAGCGGCTAAGCTCAGACCTGACCTTGAATTTTTACTTAGTGGCACAATTATGCGCACACACACTCACACACAAAGGAATTGTGTTAAATAAATGTATGATTTACCAGTAAATATATATATATTTATATATATTATATATAAGATATATATATTATACATATTAGCTATTTACTGATAAATCATACATTTATTTATTTTAACAGAACTCCTTTGTGTCTGTGTGTGTGTGTACCTGTTTTATATACCTGTACACCCCAGTTCTTAGAAAACTTTCTTGGTCAGAAAAAGGCCACAAGTCTAATTTAAGTTGTGGAGCAACAGGACGGAGGTGGGGGGTACGGTGAGGAGCGCTGAGGTGAGGGGCACTGAGGTGAGGGGCACTGAGGTGAGGAGGAGCACTGAGGTGAGGAGGAGCACTGAGGTGAGGAGGAGCACTGAGGTGAGGAGGAGCACTGAGGTGAGGAGGAGCACTGAGGTGAGGAGGAGCACTGAGGTGAGGAGGAGCACTGAGGTGAGGAGGAGCACTGAGGTGAGGAGGAGCACTGAGGTGAGGAGGAGCACTGAGGTGAGGAGGAGCACTGAGGTGAGGAGGAGCACTGAGGTGAGGAGGAGCACTGAGGTGAGGAGGAGCACTGAGGTGAGGAGGAGCACTGAGGTGAGGAGGAGCACTGAGGTGAGGAGGAGCACTGAGGTGAGGAGGAGCACTGAGGTGAGGAGGAGCACTGAGGTGAGGAGGAGCACTGAGGTGAGGAGGAGCACTGAGGTGAGGAGGAGCACTGAGGTGAGGAGGAGCACTGAGGTGAGGAGGAGCACTGAGGTGAGGAGGAGCACTGAGGTGAGGAGGAGCACTGAGGTGAGGAGGAGCACTGAGGTGAGGAGGAGCACTGAGGTGAGGAGGAGCACTGAGGTGAGGAGGAGCACTGAGGTGAGGAGGAGCACTGAGGTGAGGAGGAGCACTGAGGTGAGGAGGAGCACTGAGGTGAGGAGGAGCACTGAGGTGAGGAGGAGCACTGAGGTGAGGAGGAGCACTGAGGTGAGGAGGAGCACTGAGGTGAGGAGGAGCACTGAGGTGAGGAGGAGCACTGAGGTGAGGAGGAGCACTGAGGTGAGGAGGAGCACTGAGGTGAGGAGGAGCACTGAGGTGAGGAGGAGCACTGAGGTGAGGAGGAGCACTGAGGTGAGGAGGAGCACTGAGGTGAGGAGGAGCACTGAGGTGAGGAGGAGCACTGAGGTGAGGAGGAGCACTGAGGTGAGGAGGAGCACTGAGGTGAGGAGGAGCACTGAGGTGAGGAGGAGCACTGAGGTGAGGAGGAGCACTGAGGTGAGGAGGAGCACTGAGGTGAGGAGGAGCACTGAGGTGAGGAGGAGCACTGAGGTGAGGAGGAGCACTGAGGTGAGGAGGAGCACTGAGGTGAGGAGGAGCACTGAGGTGAGGAGGAGCACTGAGGTGAGGAGGAGCACTGAGGTGAGGAGGAGCACTGAGGTGAGGAGGAGCACTGAGGTGAGGAGGAGCACTGAGGTGAGGAGGAGCACTGAGGTGAGGAGGAGCACTGAGGTGAGGAGGAGCACTGAGGTGAGGAGGAGCACTGAGGTGAGGAGGAGCACTGAGGTGAGGAGGAGCACTGAGGTGAGGAGGAGCACTGAGGTGAGGAGGAGCACTGAGGTGAGGAGGAGCACTGAGGTGAGGAGGAGCACTGAGGTGAGGAGGAGCACTGAGGTGAGGAGGAGCACTGAGGTGAGGAGGAGCACTGAGGTGAGGAGGAGCACTGAGGTGAGGAGGAGCACTGAGGTGAGGAGGAGCACTGAGGTGAGGAGGAGCACTGAGGTGAGGAGGAGCACTGAGGTGAGGAGGAGCACTGAGGTGAGGAGGAGCACTGAGGTGAGGAGGAGCACTGAGGTGAGGAGGAGCACTGAGGTGAGGAGGAGCACTGAGGTGAGGAGGAGCACTGAGGTGAGGAGGAGCACTGAGGTGAGGAGGAGCACTGAGGTGAGGAGGAGCACTGAGGTGAGGAGGAGCACTGAGGTGAGGAGGAGCACTGAGGTGAGGAGGAGCACTGAGGTGAGGAGGAGCACTGAGGTGAGGAGGAGCACTGAGGTGAGGAGGAGCACTGAGGTGAGGGGCACTGAGGTGAGGAGCACTGAGGTGAGGAGGAACACTGAGGTGAGGAGGAGCACTGAGGTGGGGGGCACTGAGGTGAGGAGCACTGAGGTGAGGGGCACTGAGGTGAGGAGGAGCACTGAGGTGAGGAGGAGGCACTGAGGTGGGGGGCACTAAGGTACTCCAGGACACACTAAAACAGCACCGGGATAGGGCCATCTGGTAAACACTGGCCATGACAGCGACATGGACTCAGTTGGGGGCGACTTCCAGAAAGCAGTGAAACCACCATAAAATGAACAAGGGAAACAGAGCCCAAAGGTAGTCAATACAGACAGAACTGGCCAAATTTTGGGGGGAAGGTCTGAGAAGAAGCAGTGTGGACAGGTAGGGAGCGGGTGTCGGCGCCCAGGCTACAGTGGAATCAGTGCAGGAACGTGGACTTCTGTGTGTGTTCCAGTGGGCGTGTGCAGCCAGACGGACACAAATGTGGAGACCAGAGGTCACCCTTGGGGTGCTGCTCCTCAGGTGCCACCCACCTTACCTGTTTATCACTATACAGCCCCAGGTGCCCTGGAAATTACTATGTAGCCCTTGGGCCTTGGCCTCTCAGAGATCCTCCTGCCTCTGCCTCTCAAGTGCTGAGACTAAAGGTCACCATGCCTGGCCTCACCTTAGTTTTTGATACAGGGTCTTTCGCTGTGGCCTGAGGCTCACACATTAGCCTGGGCTGGCTGGCCAGTGAGTGCCTGGCTCTGCCGTGCCTCTACTTACCCAGCGTTGGGATTACATGCACATGCCGCCACGCCTGGTGTTTTCTGTGAGTGCTGGGGATAGAACTCAGGTCTTCACGTTTATGTAGCAAGCGCTTCACCCACTGAGTTTTCTCCTCAGCCCCAGGAAAACAGACGTTTTAGAAGAAAAAATAGCAAAGAACATTTGGCCTGAGGAAGAGATGTCTGAAGGAATGCTGGCAAGGGGCCACAGGACAGCAAACCAGTCATTTCCCAAACCCTCTAAGACCAAAAGTGACATAAAGTGTCCTGTGGCCCACGTGGTTCAGATTTAGAAGGTAAACGGCAAAGACTACAAGCCTCCCAACAGGAGATGGAACTGGGCGGGGTGGGAAGACCCGGTCCCCCTCAGGGGTCGTGGTCCTTAGCTTTCTCCACAGCACACTGAGGAATGTGACGCTGCACACAGCTGCTGGAGGCTGGACTGGGACTGGCAGTCACTCCGCACTGATCCACGTGGTCTCAGGTGCCAGGACAGAGCTGTGATGTCTTCCCTGCTCACTGGGCAACCTCTTGCCCGGCTCATTCCCCTGTCCCCATCGTGTGTATGGGGTTGGGGTATGTCACAGGCACAGGGACCAGCAACCCCCACCTCCTGCCAAGCATGCTCTTTCCTACCTCCCACCCAGGGTGGGGGATGTGCTAAGAGCCTGTCTGCGGGCTCTGCTGTATTTAAACCTCACTCTGCCACTCGGCTGGCTGGGTGACTCATCGCTGGTAAGTCACTTAACCTTCCAAACCCCGAGTCTCTAATGGGGATTACATCAGCATCAGCACTGCACACTGCTGTGCAGACAAAAAGGGAGAGAGTAACTGACAGTATTTACTACAGTGTCTGGTCCCCTGGGTGCTCAGAGACCCACCTTTCCAGGTGAAGTAACAAGCAGTTTCTACCCACCCGCCACTCTCCCTTCCCTGTGCAAAGGGGACGAGGGGAAGGAGAAAACACTGAGCCAGGCTTCCCTAGACTCCTCCAAGGGCCACCTTCCCTGAGAGGGGGAAGCCTGTACATCATGTCTAGAGAATGCAGTGAGGCCTAGGATATTGTCAGGAAGGTAGACTTTTGGGGTGGTGCATGGTCAAGGACCTGATCACCCCTTCCTCCTCATCAGGTGACACAACACCAAGGTGTTAAGAAAGGTCTTCACAGGGATGCCTGGCGGGGAGCATCCTGAGCTCATCAGCCATTGCAAAGTGTCTTATGCAAAGTGTCTTATAATAGGGACACTGTGGGTGGGAGTGGCTAAGCTATTTCCAGGCCCTTCTGAC